AGAAGCAGATTTGCTAAATCAAAAGGTTTGCACCTGGCTGGTGTGGCTCAGTGGTTGAGTATCAACCTATGAACCAGAAGGTCACAGCTCGATTCCCCATCAGGACATGTGCCCAGGTTCTGGGCTTGACTCCTAGTTGGGGACTGCCTCAGATCTTGCAGGAGGCAGCTGATCAATGATTCTCCCTTATCATTGATGTTTCTATCTCCCTCTCCCTCTCCCTTCCTCTTTGAAATCAATAATGAAAACTAAATGGTTTACAACATTTTACGTCTTTTGAATTATATCACCAAATTGGTCTCTCATTTCCCTGTGCCCTACGTGACATTGGGAATTACCATGGTTTTCAGTTTTTGTCACTTTGATAAGTGGAATGTCCTCCTTTTTAAATTAAGGCTGATACCACATGACTTCTGATACCAGTGAGCTGTTTCACCACCTAAGTGTCAGGTGCAGATGCACTCTTAGAAGCATCCCACTCCCTTGTAAACCAGTAACCCAGCTGTTTGTCTTACAGCCTCTACACCCTCCGTTCTCTGTACAGATAACTAAGTGTGCATGTTCTCACGACTGGCTATTGAAGCCGTGCGAAGAAAGTAAAGAGGGAGTAACTTTCCCTGGCAGCGTGCCTCTTTTCTGTTCTCTCAGCACAGCCATGCACCCACGGCGTCCTCTCTGAATTATTTTACGCAGCGGGCTGCAGTGACTGTCAGCCTCGGCAGTCAGGGGACCCAGATTCTGAGTGGTTGGTGTTCACCCAGAGTCCCGAGGGAACCTCATTCAGGCAGCATTTATTATTTCCCTTTTTCTTAGAAGACTGTTGGGGGCTCTGTAGCATGCTTACTGCCTTGTTAAGCACTTAATTAAAAGAAGTACTGCTGGGGACTGCAGGTGAGATAGAAATCGGAGTCTAGGAGTTGCGGTTTGCTATGCATGATGAATTAAACAGAAAAACAGCTCTACCACAAATAGAGAAGACCCTTGCCATGTGAGTCTGTACAGCGCTTCAGTGCACTGCATCTGACGGGGGTGTGCTCCTCTGAATAAGACAGCTTTCCTGTGGAATGCACCTCTAAAATTCATAGTGCAAGGCAGGGGGAAAACGGTTCCATCCTGACACACTTGTAGGAAGAATGCATCTTTGGAATAAGCTTGGGCATAACCATGCATGCATGTCTTTAGTTATTATCTCACTAGCATGTTTTGAGAATGGTAATACTAGATAGATAGATAGATAGATAGATAATCATTATAAAGACATAAAATTATTACTAAGCTCCATTTATCTTTGCAGTGTGGTGTAAAATTTCCATGTATATGGTTACTTCCCTAGCTGTGTAAGTGGCCACATGAGGAGTGGTTGCTGAGAGTATTCCTGCCTTAAAAGGCAGTCTTGGGAGGCAAATTCAAACTAGCCTCTAGGCAGCTATTGAAGCTCATTAGGAACCAGTTAGAACAGCCTTGGACTCCATGGATATCTGTGGGTTGTGGAAAAGTCCCCAGGGGAAGGAGTAACTGTAATTACAGACAGGTCATCTTAGTTGCTTCTGTTAAAAAGAAAAGTGAGTTCAGGGTCTGTTGCCATCTGTAGAAAGGGGCACTGAGGGTGGCCTGCCTGAGGGTGGCGAGAGCCCCCCTCCGTCTGCCCTGCCAGCCATAGAGTAACGGCCGGCCACGGCTGCAGAGTAGACATCAGGATGTGGTTAATGTGCAGCCCCAACCAGAAAATCTCATTTTCCTTTCCCTTCTCCCTAACCCCCAAACAAGTCTATAATCAAAACCTTAAACTCTAGGATGTTTGGAGTATTTTATTCAAAAGTTTCTACTGCATTTTTCTTCCTGATTTGTGTTCATCTAATATCTGTATATTTTTTCTTCAAATGTACTTTTTACTTCTAATAGAACTATATTCTGAAATGTTCTCTTATCTCCACTTATTATCATAAATAGACATTTTCTTTGTGGACACCTGCTTAGCTTGAGAAGTAACATAACATCTTTGATACTTGATTGGGATTTTCTAGATTGGGAGAGTATATAATAATTTTAAAAATTCTTTCTGAATAATTGATTTAACTTTTCTAAAAATCTCAAAGGATGCTGGCCTAATATACCTGACAGCTTGTTCTACCTATTTATTGTGAGATGCATCATACATGTAGGAGAATATGTTAGACATATTGGAAGTAAAGAATAATTATAAGAGGGAACACCCCAGACTGCCACCCAGGTCAAGACATGGACTGTGGTGAGCACTGAGCAGCACTCCTGTGTGGGCCCCTCTCTGTACACAGCCTCCATCCCCAGGGAACACTACACTGCTTTAGATTACATTTTTCTTGTTTCTAAAACTGTCTGTGTGTGCAGTTTTAACTGATAACATTAGTTTTGCCTGTCTTGAACTCTATGTAAACGGATTCATATTGTAGATTTTCCCCTCATAAGATCCCTTGTTCAGCATTATGTTTGAGAAACTCATGCATTTTATTCTGTAGTTCATTTTCCTCGCTGTATAGAATTCTGTTGTTGAATATACTGTACCACACTTGATTCATTCAGGTTGGTTTCAATTTTGGCTAATATAATTATGCTACTGCTACAAATGCCTATCTGTGTGTGTGCCCCGGAGTACTTGTGAAGACGTGCTGATGCATGGAGTCAAATAGATCGATAGATAATCTCATCACTAAATGGAGAAAAGAGGAAATTTCAGAATATAGTTCTATTTGAAGTAAAAGGAGTGGAATTGCTGTATCCAGTGTTCACATCTTCATTAGAGCTAATGAACCAAACTGTTTTCCAGAGTGGTTGCATGCTTATAACTTTTAATGAAAACTAGTATTTCTATCAGAATTGTGTACATGGAAAATATCTTCCCAAACTTATCTCTGATCTCTGACATTAATTCAAATGCAAGAAGCCAAAAGTGCATTTTTATTCCCCCACTGGTGAATTTTATTCATGTCAGTGGAAAGTAGGAATCAGATAAAACGAACTATAGCATAAGTGTGTTTTCCAGGGTTACTGTTGTACTTTAATAGTCAAGAGAAATGTTTTCTGTGTAGTTGCTGTTTTGAAACACAGAATATTAAACAGCCATGTACTCAGTGGTTGAGATTTAATAAAATTAACAATTTTATTGCTGAATCAAGAACATTCTTAAGTGAAGCTGGCATTTCAAAAAAATCCAATGAGTATTGGTACAGTTGGGTACCAATGGCTTGATTGGTATTAAAGAGCTGGCAATTTGACCCACTATCCCTTTTGTACCACTGATACAAATTATCAATACAGTGAAGAAGGCACATAACGTCCTAGTATTATTATGAAAATTATTTTCACTTTATGGGCACCCTGGGGGGTTTCGGTGAGATGACTGATAATTTACATTGTCGTATTTAATGTAGATGCTTTAATAATCATGAATTATGCTCTTCAGTTGTTTAAAACCCATGCATATGTATAGCTGGGTCTTGAGAAGTTGCTTTTGCTTTTCCCATCTGTGATGCTGCCCCCACGCTAGAATAGGGGCTAAGCTGGTGGTATCCCATGGCGTTAGTATTTTAGGAGGACGAACTTGGCATTCATTTGAATTTTATAGCATTTGTTTTCACTTTTTTTTTTCAGGTGCAAGTGCTTCCTGAGAGATTTTGGTTGTTTTGATTTATTGGCACATACACAATGTATATACTGTGACTCATTCGTAGTAGGGCCTCTCAAGGAAATGAGGTGTAGCTGCTGCCTTGCTCCTGCCTGCCTCCTCCTCCTTTTGTTGAGCACCCAGTTTATGCAAGGTCTACTCCAGAGATGAGAAAGACAGGCTCCCTGCCTCCGGAGCCTAGGGAAAAGCGTTGGAACGCAGTGTAAAGAGGCTGGTACAGAAGTTAGTGCTGGGTGTTCTGGGAAGCAGCACAGGAGAGGGGCCGCTGTAGGTGGCTTTTAAAGGAAGGCTTGGGGCCTGGCAAGGGAGCAGCCGCGGTGGAGACATGAAGGAGAGGAAGAACACATTACTTTGTGGATAGGGAGTGGCCCAGTGCCATGGTGGTAACACAGGCTGGGCGTGGAGGCCGTCAGGAGAAGAGGACAAGCTGAAATCACATCGTAAAGGATCTTGCTGGGACTTGGTCCCGTTGACCAGGGTTCTCCAAGCCTGCTCCCCAGACCAGCTGCATTAGCATCTTCGGAACTTGTTAGAAATGCACATACCTTGGCCTAGCCGAGGCTTTGAGGTCCGGTATTGTGGCTGAGGCCAGGCTGTGTGTTTCACTAGGCCTCTAGGGGCTGCCCAGGCCAGGAAAGAACAGACAGGTTCTTGAGCAGCCTTGCATTTTTGTAAAAGCTCACTCTGAGGACCCTCTGGAAGGTGGGATGGTGTGGGGAGTTAGGGACTGAGTCATTGCTGTTTTTGTGGATGGGATGTGGTTTGGACTGAAGGTAGTAGGAAGAAGAGAATGGATTTGCTGGACTTCATTGCTATTAGACAGTTTAAAAGTTGAGAAAACAGCTGTGCTTTGCTCTGTGACCTACCCCCAATCAGGGATGGAGGGGGTTTTAAACACCTTTGCTGCCTTCTGTCTTCGGGAACATCTTTTACTGACTGGGGACGGGGCACAAATCACGTAACTGGCCTGAGCCCCTCAGTCTCCTCTTGGATGTTGCCGGCTTCATCAGAATGACGGCCTCTGGAGGGGTCATCTTGCATAATCCGGAGTCTTAGAAAGGAGGGCAGAGTGTGGGAGACAGAGGCAGTGATTTCATTTCGGTCTGCCCGGCTACTGGCCAATTTAATAACCAGTAACGGCACTCAGACTTACGTTGTACATTGCCTCTAAGTTGGTGGGATGTACCTTTTTGCTCTTTGGATTGTACCATCACTAGCTCCATTTGGTACATGTAAGTGTAAAGATGGGTCTCCAATTTCAGTTACAACGATTATTCTGTTAGAAGCTTTATTCTTCAGCATTTTAACACTTTTTATATCCTATTTTGTTTTACAGATTTGTAAGACTCCAGGGCCTTCATGCTGTGATTAATCAGATGGTTCCTGAAATGACTGGGAAAACAGACACTTTACGGGCCAGTTGAAGAGTGTATGTCGGTGTATATTTAAAACCTTTCTATGCACACACACACACACACACACACGAGAAGACAGGCTCATTCTGGTGCACACTTGAAGCATTTTACAACTGATGAAAATTAATCTAAGAATCAGATGGAGCAACTTGACACCACTGGGCTCAGGGGCCCGGGGAGAAAAATATATCACTAATGGCCAATTTTCCATATGGTCTTCACGGGTAAAGAAAGTTTGCAAAAAGAAGAAAAAAAAACTTGCACAGATCAAGCTTCAAAAATACCTCTCCAGTTGAAATAAGGAGCTAAGTCAGACGGTGCCCGAGGGAGAAGTGTGATTTCAAGCATTGCCGGTGGGATCAAGCAGTGTTTTTTGCACTTTATTTTTCAGTGGATTTGATGATTTGGACAGAGACTGTAAAATTCTGGACTGACAAGTTTCTTTACTGTGAGCTGGTGACTGGAGGAAAGCCAGTTCAGGTTTGACGGGACAAGTTTGAACAATGAACTGGTTCCTTTGCCTTTTTCAGTTGACTATACTCTAGAAACTTTAATTTATTTTTTCCCTTTCCTTTTCTGTATCTACAGGATAATATCATTTGAAACCGATAAATAAATATCAAGGAACATCCAAGCAAAGCTTCTTTTCCTTGGACTGTACGTGTGGCATCTGGAAACGTTCTCTGAATGTGAACAGAAAAGGCATCAGCAAAACGTGGTAACTCTTGAGGGACACAGCGGGGAAGAGCCCGACCCTGCCTGTGTTTTGCTCTCTTCTCTTCTGTGGAGTTCAAGAAGACCTGTGCATGTAAGAGGAGGATTACTTGATGGACTTAAATCTGAGATTCTTCTTTTTTCTTCCAAGATGAAAAAATGTGTGATTTTTAGGAGCAGAAAGGGGAGAAGTTAGACTGGGGGAGGAAGGAGACAGGCAAAAGAAGAAATCTGCAGCGAGGCTTCGTTTTGTCAGCAAGAGGATTTAGGACTCACCTGAGGCAAACACTTGGACCAGCGCCCTGGCTCTGCGTCGTGAAGGGGCTTCCTCTCGCCCCCTCTCTGGCATGAGGGCTGCGTGGGCTGTGAGAGCAGTCAGATAGAGCCCCGCTCTCGGGGCGGGGGGGAGCACAGGGACCTGCCAGGACACCGCTGGGGCTCTGAACCACGGCAAAGAACCTTTTCTTCCTAAACTTGGACTGCTGTCTGCACAAACTGGTCGTTCTGCACGGTGTGTGTGCCTTTTCCCCTTTATGCAATCTTTTTCAGCTTTAGCAGCAGAAATTTGTCCAGTTGAGAAAACATGCCAGAGGGTGGCTTCAGAAAGAGGAGGATCCCTGTGCTTTGTTCCTGCGTCTGAACTTTTAAAGAAAAAATTCCAGCTCGAGGGGTTCTTAAAGCCTTAAGTTACTTGAAATCTATGTATTTGCAACCCTTGGTCTCTGGAATCATATTACACTAAACTGGAATCTCAGGCGGAATCAGAATAACCAAGTTGAGTAAACAGAAGGAAACTCAGTTTCTTGATCACTACATATTAATGATGCTCTTTCTCCAAAGGGTCAGCCCACTCTTCCTCTAAGGACTTGAAAATAAAATGGACCCCACATTTTTTTAAGCATCACCTTTTCTTAGCAGACTGCCATCATCTTTTATAGAGGAATTTTTTCACTATGCATTTGGTGGATCTTTATAAAATACTGACCTTCTAATTAGATCCAGGTCAATCTTAACTGAAGGAGACCGGAGAAGCCAAGCAAGCCAACCACAAAAATAGAATTAATCAATGAGAGGAACTGGGTTAGCTTTTTCAGCACTCAGCATTGCTCTTTAAGTACGAGAGTCCACTGGGAGAAGTATGTATGCAGCGGTGGAGCAGGGGCCTGTGCTCTGCAGCGACTCCAACATCCTCTGCCTGTCCTGGAAGGGGCGCGTCCCCAAGAGCGAGAAGGAGAAGCCTGTGTGCAGAAGGCGCTACTATGAGGAGGGCTGGCTGGCCACGGGCAACGGCCGGGGCGTCGTGGGCGTGACCTTCACCTCCAGCCACTGCCGCCGCGACAGGAACACGCCACAGAGAATTAACTTCAACCTGCGGGGCCACAATAGCGAGGTGAGTGGCTTTCCTTTCACAGTTTGGTCACTTCTAGAGGTATTTTTGAGCCACCCCCACCCACTGGCTCAAAACTCACTTTTCTTCAGTTTCTTGTATTTCCTGCCAAGTGAGACTTTTTGCAAAGTGAATTCTGTTGTCAGTGTTTTGGGGGGAAAGTATTAGGGCAGACACAGTGCCCATTGCTTAGTTACCTTATCTTCACCTCCTTCCACCACAATGAGCAAACCCCTGTCCCACCCACACGCCCTGCAAGCTCTGGACGGAGCTCCTGGAGGTCCTGACTCTGCCCTGAGCCGTTGGGCAGAACCCAGGCGTGCTAGCTCCAGGCATCTGCTGATGTCAGAACTGAACAACTGGGACTTTTTTTCTCCTAGAGAACAATTTCTTATACATATTTTCGCTGCCATGCAAGTTAGTCATGGTTAGTCCTGACTCTTTATTTAACAGGATTTCCTTAGGACAGTGGTTCTCAACCTTCCTAATGCTGCGACCCTTTAATACAGTTCCTCATGTGGTGACCCCCAACCATAAAATTATTTTCGTTGCTACTTCATAACTGTAATTTTGCTACTGTTGTGAATCGTAATGCAAATATCTGATATGCAGGATGTATTTAGGCGACCCCTGTGAAAGGGTCATTCGACCACCAAAGGGGTCATGACCCGCAGGTTGAGAACCACTGCCTTAGGAGCAGGTAGGCAGTCGTGCGTGTTTGGTGGAAATGGTTTCATTATAGGGACACATCACTATAGGATGGTCTTACCTGCGTGCTAGGATTTGGTTACCTCTCTCTGAGAAGCTTTTCCTTACCCCCTATCCCCCTTTCCTCCCCGCCCCCCACTTGTCCCTACTGAGCTCTGAGCAGCCTTCTGTGGTGGTGCTGGTAATGATAGTTATCTGCTGTGTGGGTCGGTAAACTTACTGGAAGATTGTCTGTTCTTGTGGTCTACTTCCTCACCTCCCACTCTTTAAAATGTCATTTATTTTAATTGCCTTTAACTTGTTAACCCACTTCAGTGTGGCTTTTCCCCCGCCTCTCTAACTGAAAAGGTCATATTCCCAGTGACCTCACATTGCTAAGCCCATAGGTCACTTTATTGCAGGTGGTAGCATTCAGCGGAGTGGAAATGTCACTTTCTTGCTTTCCAGGACACCGCCCCCTTCTGGGTTTCCTCTACCTTCATGTCCTCTACTTTTCACCCGTCTTGGCTGGCTTTGGCTGTTTTCACCTTATCGTTAAGTTTAAGTGTTGGAGGGCCCCAGGCATGCATCTTTTTCTAGATGATCTCTCTTAGTTGGCTTTAAATCCACCTATATGTGGGTGACTCCAAATTTATATTCCCCATCTATCTTCACCCTCAATTGCAGACTCCGTTCTTCAGTTTGGTATGTGAGATACAAAACTGGACATTAGTTACTAGACCATCTCAGAATGTATGTCTCTCATGAGAACTTGTTTTCCTGCTGCCCCTTCCGCCACCAGCCCTGTTCCAACCCCCTCTCCGCCCATCTTCTTCCCAGGACCAGCCCACAAACACTTTCTACTTCTAGTTTTCTTATCATGGCTATTCAGAATCCAGTCTCCCAGCCCAAGAAGCTTTTGCCCTATACTATTCTCCAGTGCCTCACCAAACCCTTCACTGTCCAAAGCACACAGTCACTCATAACTGTTTCTGGGCTCATTTTGCTTTGCCTTTTTTGAAGCAGTGAATCACAGAAGGAAAAACACACAGACATGAATTGAAATCCCAGGTCTGCCATCTTTGTCATCAGCTCTATACCTTGGATAAGTTCTATAACATCTCTGAAAGTCAGGGATAATAAAACAAGGCTGTAGAGAGTTGTTATGACAGTTAAACAAAATAGCGGACAAAAAGCACATAGAAAATTGTGGCCATATAGCACGTAGCAACTGTTAGCTGCAGCAGCAACATTATTTCCATGCATCCTACATATCCGTCTTCTGACAGATAGGTCAGCTGGGCAGAAAGAGCTCCTTCTTCATGGTGCGGGGCGTGCAGGAGGCAGCCAATCAGTGATTCTCTCCCATCATTGATGTTTCTGTCTCTCCCTTCCTCTCTGAAATCAGTAACAAATATATATTTAAAAAGAGATATTTTTAAAGGTTCTTAAAGGCATTAAAAGTAGATTTAGTCATGGTTCTATTCCCAGTCAGGGCACATGCCAGAGTTGCGGGCTCAATCCCCAATGTGTGGTGTTCTATCTCTCCCTCTCCCTTCCTCTCTCTGAAATCAATAAAAACATATTTTTAAAATAGATTTATTTTCCCTAAACAAAACAAAAATATTAATCCTATATAATAAAAGGCTAATATGCAAATTGACCAAATGGCTGAACAACTGGTCGCAGTGTTGCACACTGACCATCATGTAGCAGATGCTCAACACAGGACCTGCCCCCTGGTGGTCAATGCGCTCCCACAGGGGGAGTGCCGCTTAGCCAGAAGCCAGGCTCATGGTTCGCAAGCGCAGCAGCCGTGGCAGGAGCCTCTCACGCCTCCACGGCAGCACTAAGGATGTTCGACTGCTGGCTTAAGCCTGCTCCCCACAGTCCCTGGCAGTCAGACATCCCCCAAGGGCTCCTGAACTGCGAGAGGGCACAGGCTGGGCTGAGGGACAACCCCCCACCACCACCACCAAATGCATGAATTTTGTGCACCAGGCCTTTAGTAGAATTACATTTTATTTAGAAAATAGAATTTGTCAAAATAATGGCATTGCTCATTTTTTTTCTTTAGCAATTTGTTTTACTTTTTTTTCTCCTAATAGAAATAAATTATCATGTCTGAAAGTAACTTAGACACTGGAAAACACTGTCTTTTGGGTGTATTTTTGCTAGAGAGGAAGAGAGAAGGATGTGGGCACAAGGCAGTAATTTTTTTGGTAACAGCATCCTAGGGAAGCAGCTTCAAGCTGCATCATGTCAAAATGAGAATGAAGGAGGTTATTACTGAAGTCCTGGGCAAATAAATATTTTCCTAACTCTAGCATCTGTTCATGTTTTATTAACACATTGTTTGCGGGTAGTTTTTATCGCGCGCTAACAGGTGGCGCGGGCCATTTTTGCTAATTTTTTGCGCAAATGGCAACATTCAGTAAAATTACGATAACTTTAGTTTTACATATTTTTTTCAATGAAACTTTTTGTGATTTACTATAAAATGTATACTGAATTATTTTTCTTAGAATCGCACTGAATGCGTGGCGAGGCAGAGAATTGTGTGAAGGGATGACTCTACGGCTACGCAGTTGAATAAATTACCATTATACCTGGAAGTACATACATAATTCACCATTGTATGTGTTAGAGACCCAAATTTTGTCCTTTGGAATTCGTATATCTGCATGTTAGCAGCCCTTTAGATCTCCCCCCTAACTTGCTTGTGGTGACTGAAAGACACAGTCCATTGAAAATGCACATCAAAGAGCTCGTTATATCTTAGTGCTTTTTAATTATTACTGGACTCTCTGCCATCCTTGGGTTTTTGCCCATCTGCATTTCCTTTTTCCCCCTAATCCTCACCTGAGGATATTTTTCTCATTGATTTTCAGACAGGGTGGGAGGGAAGGGAGAGTGGGAGTAGGGAGAGAACAGAGACAGAGAGAGACAGACATCGAAGTGAGAGAGAGACACATGGATTGATTGCCTCCCACATGGGGCCTGACCAGGGCGGTATTGAACCCGTCATGGTGGTATGTGTCCTTGACCGGGAATTGAACCCATTACCCTTGTGTTTGCAGGCCAACACTCTCACCAGTGTGCATTTTCTTTTGGGTTTGAAACAGTGGAGCCATGGCGTCTCTGCTGAGAAATAGCCCGATGGTTTCAAGATATAGGAATGGAATGTGAGGCAGGAGGCAGGTGAGTGGTTAGAAGCAGGGTTCGGGGTGTCCACGCTGGGAAGAAGGCTGAGCTTGTGCCACTGGTTTTATTACACGTTTGGAATTCTGAGACACTGGGTACCTCCATAGCTGCAAGGCATTCATCCTGCTATTTCCATCCTAGTCTGCAACAGTACCTGGCCTCAGGGTGCATGGAGCCACCTACTTATCCTTCCACAGAGAGGCTGTGGGCATAGTGCAGAAATGGACCCCTAGTGCGCTGTGCAAGGGGGTATCCTATTCTAATTGGAGGTTTTTGTCTAAAGTTGATTAAAGTTATCTTTCTGGGGTATGGTCTGGGAA